TCAGTTTCTCCCTCCCTCCCTCTCTCACTCTCACTCTCTCCCTCTATTTCTCCTTGTCATAGAAACAGACAAACATGTGAAAAACAGATCACAGAAAATTACCCACTTTTCTTCCTTAACAAAAAAAAATTTTCTTTAATATATATCCATTTCATTTTGTTTAAATACACAATTGTATTCGCTTGCGCATGTACAAGATAAAAATAATCTTACTCACAAAACAAAAAACAGAAGTAATATCATCTATTACACAAAATGAAAGAGTACAAGATGGAGCTCATTAAAGTAGTAGATTTGTTTAAAAACAAATGAAAATAAACAACAATTTCACCTTTAGATCAGGGCACAAAAAGCAAAAACAAACAAACAAACAAAAAAGATTGAGTACCTTTCAATCCCTTTCATTGAATTCAATTCTATTCTATGGTTTCACTCTTGAACTATCACCATAATGTTTTTTTCTTGTTTTTTTAAATAAAAAAGGGGGGTGATTTTAGTTTGACGGTCTTTTTTTCAGAAAAAATATTTCCTACATATTTTTATTTGGATTAACCATTTTCGGAACATTATCTCTTCACTTACAACTGTGCATATCTTCGATACATTCATATAATATACAATACACTAAAGGCAGTCATAACAACAGACAATATATATATATATATATATATATATATATATATATATATATATATTGAATGAAACCAAAGAAAAACAAATCGGTTATTATTTTTTTGGCTTGACAACTAAATCAGTGTTGTTGTTGTTGTTTTCTCTTTTAGTGCATTTTAAAAAACAAACAAACAAACAAGTTGTGTGCTTCAAGTTTCCAATTTTTAACACCATCTTATCGATTCAGTTACAATTTAAACATTTCAGGTCATATTGTATATGTGTAATATATGTGTGTGTATGTATGTTGGTGTGTGTGTGTGTGCTTGAAAGGCAAATTGTTCAAAATAGATGGATCATTAAAACAATTATTTTTTTATTTATTGAATAAATAAACAACAAATTGTGTTGTGTACACAGACATACAAAATAATCGAAACTTCAAATGGATTGATTGATCAATAAATAATCGATTGATTGATTAATTGATTGATTGATTGATTGATTAACAGACAAAAAACGGAATAGAAAAGAAATCACATGCACTCACACACACACATCACATATCACTGATTTCGTTGATTAATGAAAGAAATTAATAATAATAATAATAATTCATCTTTGAAGAGCTTGAAGAGATCCACATACAGAAAGAAGGAAAAAAAAGGAGAAATCAAACAAAAATGAAAAAGAAAAAAACTTGTAAAATGCTTCATCGATCAATGCACATTTTTAAAAAAAATAAAACCTGCCTGTTTAATTATCAATTAAGTGATTGATTACAAGATTGAATTTGAGAAATCACTTACATGTGTGCAAACACATTCCATTACACACACATACATACACACACAAATACACACACACACACTCAAACTTTACACATGCATACGTATGTACGTTGTCTGCTTATTCAGAAATATGAGCAAGAATTATTCACTTTTTCGTTATATGAAACTAGTTTTATTCACAAAGAAATAATGATTGTAAACAAACAGTGGGGGTAAAGAGAGAGAGAGAGAGAAAGAAAGAAAGAAAAGGTATGTTTAAGAACAGTGAATGATATCAATATTTTCTTTATTATTGAAATTGAATAACCAAAAAGACTTCCGATTTCTTTGTTGACTCAGTTCTTTTTAACATGATCGGAATACCTAAGAAAATGGGGAAATAAGGATAAATTTATGAATATGGAGTTGTGGAGATTGTTAAGTTTTTGATTGAGATCATGAATCGATCGATGTTAGATCACTATTTAGAGGTTACGCGTTAGTATGCGAGACGGAAGGTCCTGTGTGTCAATTCCGCGTACGGGATCGTAAATGCGCATTATCAAGCAGTCCCGTACTAAGACGAAACGGCCGTCAAATGTTTCCAGGTTTTCAGTGATGACCTAACATTGATCTATTCATGAGTTCAATCAAAAAGAAAAGTTTATGACTTATTTCATGAGAATAATTACAATAAAGTATTTAGGACACTGATCTGAATCTTGCAGCCCCCTTAAGGTTGTAGATACTCCTTGCTGACGAATGTCAACTGACAAGAAATTTTAGCCCATGTAAAGCTTCCTATTGACTGCCTCTAACCATCTAACAAAAGGATTTTAAATTTTAATTGTAATAAATTACAACCAACATCTAACAATAAGCACGTAAGTGAGTGTGTCTCATTTATCAACTTTTATAATAGTGTTCGTGTTAATTATATTACTCAGTTGACTGATGGCGGAGAAAGCTTCGAACCTGTGACCTAATTGTTTAAAAGCTGAGTAAATTAATAACTAAGGTACCGTTTTATATTAGCTAATAAAAACCTTTAGAATATGAAAAAAAAGAAATTCACGTTATCCTCTTAAAATCATTGCTATTTCTGTCTTTATTGGGCTTTCCAAGGTAGAAAATTCAAACAGTACACTACTATATAACACGATAGGAATAGTTCAATCCTATCGAGTTCTAAGCTACAAATTGTATGAGTAGTATTATTTCTACAACAATTTATATTCTTGGTATCAATGGTTAATGAATTTCATTGAATTTCACAGTTTACATTGTGAACTGATATTAGTTAAACAATCATTGACAATCAAGAAGCAATGTTTCAAAGTAATGTTAACCATTAGATAACAAATCCATTAATTTGAACGTCAAATTCTCTCATTAAAACTTAAAATGTCCTAAGTTTGATCCCCAAGTGGAGTAATGGATGAACACTTCCACTGAAGAGTTACATAGTAGAACGAAACGACTGAATAGAGCTGGTTGGTTTTCAGTGGATATCCAAATGAGATCAATTCATGGTGTACACTGTAAAATTTCCCATTCTATCAGGAAGCCATCAGAAAATTGGATACAGAAATATCTGGAATGACGAAATACATATTCCAAAGATATATATTTATATGTATCTAGTCAATTTCTCAATTCATTCTTGAGATTGTTAGTATACTGTCAATATACAAATAAGCATAGTATAATCCTTGCAACTTCATCGAAAAAAGTTCTACCGGTTTACTTTTTCCCTTCGTAAAGTTGTTACCAGTGGAGTTTTCCTCCTACATTGTAATGTTCTACATAACATAACAACGACAACAACAACAACGATAAATATCCGCAAAATTATTTTAGGTGAATAATCTAATCTTGATATATCGCCAGTGATTACCACCACAACACTGACTTATCATGTACGTGTTCACGTTGTACGAACAAGTACATGTGTGTGTGTGCACGTTCAGGTACTATTCACCTAAGTATATGGAAGAAGATAGAATGTAAACAAGTATGAATGTTGGATGTATTATTTAGTCTCCTACTTGCCTAAAAAAGATTTCATATAAGCTTTACCCATGAGGAATTTGAGATTAGAAACTCATGATGAATGAATAAAGGGTGGTGATTAAATAGACTCAGAAACAGACCAGGCGGGTAGGAATAGACTGAAGCAAATGTGTATAAATTAATCACATAAGAAAAGTATAGATTATCGTCTTTCATTATTCAATTCTACACAGTTATGTATGTATCCTTCTATATTCAAGTCTCTGTATGTGTGAGTACACGTGGATAAATTCTCTACCACCATGAATGACTTAGGAATCAAATGAGTAAGTTTGAGTACAATTAAATGTTTTAAGATGTAATTCACTTGATGGCCGTTCATCAATTGTAATGAGAGAAAAAAAGACGTTAAGCGTTTGAATGCGAGACCGAAGGTCCTAGGTTCCAACCCCGCGTACGGGATCGTGAATACGCACTACTGAGGAGTACCATAATAGAACGAAACGTCTGTCTAATGCTTTCAAGTATCCAATGATAGTTTAACATTGATCGATTCATGATCTCAATTAAAATAAAAATAGAGCTTGAAAATAAATAGCTATTTATTTTCTGTAAGAAAAATTTTGAAACAGCTTACTCGTGCGTGTATGCATAATAGGTGTGTGCGGTAAATTGATCATCATGAAGAAAACGTGTTCAAAAATTATCTACTTGTTTGTATATGTGTTTAAATGAGCTTGTAGGTAAGAATGTACATTTTACCCTAAATGATTTGGATTATTTCTTTATTAAAAGCTTTGTGTTTATCCTCATCTCCTACTACCGATGTTTAGTTAATTGTAATTTGCACATTAGGAATTCACTGAATACAAAATGGTATCACAAAATCTAATGTCAACTTACAAATAATTCAGTGCATAAATACTGGGTTCAACATCAACGTTAAGATACAGGTACGTCTATCCACCTAAGAGAAAAAGTGTGTCGTGTTCTTTTTTCTTAACAGTGGATAGATATAATTCAACTTTATTGAAACTTCATTGACTAACTAGTTATATTTCAGTAATATGACCAGGGTGAACATATACACAGACAAAGAATAACTAATCACAGTCCATAATATCAACAATGAAAGAACACAAACGTTAATAACCGTTAGACAAGTTAGTAGCTATGTGAACTCATTAGCTCAGGGCATAGCAACACTTGATTACTAGGTTCAAGTTTCAGTGTGAATATCAACACTGAGTATCAAATATATAAATTTAACGAGTATCATTTAAGAATAAACACTTAGTCTTGGATTCCACTACTCTAGCCAAAATCCAACACTATACGATAATTCATTTTGTATTGGTTGTTTGAATCTTCCCATTGATGTTTAGGACTGCAATTGACTAGTCTCTTATTGGCAACTATGCATCCTGTGCGGATTACGTCGATATTGCGAGTAGGTCATAAGCCTTATAAGCAAATATGGATGTTGGATAGTAGTAGAATCCAGGACGCGCGTTTCGTCCTATTTTGGTCTCGTCAGCTAGATGTACCTACTATACGATACTCTTGACACTTGGGAAAAAAAGAACTAGACTCACTTCTTATTGATTATAATAACATTTGCACATGTCGATTGGTTTTATCTAATCCAATTAAATGATTGGCAGGGTTCAATGAAAACGCTGGTGAAGCCGGTATTGTCATATGACAATCATTATTAGTATTATTATTAGTATTACTATTATTATTACCGTTAGTTTTAAGTAAATGACTTGGTATTAACCATTGATATAATCCACTTTCCGGTCTAGTACTATTATTTAATGCATCAGGAATATGTGTTATGGAACCTGGAATTGGTGTTGACGGAAGTAAATTATTTTGTTGTTGTGTTTGTTGCTGTTGGGATTGATGAGGATGATTGGCATAAATTGTACCATTCAAAGTAATATTCTCTGGTGTACCAGTTAAACAATTACCAAGTGCATCAGTTTGTATTGGAATAGTTGTTGAATTGTGTGAATTCAAAAAATTTTGATAAGTAGCATTGAAAGTAGTATTTAAATCAGCTGTTGTTGGATAAACACATCCTTGTAAAGTCGGATTGGTCATTGCTGCCATGGCAACAGAGAGTAAGTGTTGTTGTTGTTTTTGTGATTGTTGATGAGACTGTTGTTGTTGTTGCTGTTGCTGTGCATGCTGATGAGATTGTTGTTGTGGGCGAAAGTAATCAGTCCCGTATAATGAACATCCGTATAAACTGGTTATTAGGTTAAAAAAGTGACAAGATAATTAATGTATAAAAATACAAAAAGATTGAAGAATTTTATGGTTTACATTATGGAATAAATTTAGTTAGATAATCGTTGAAAATCAGGAAGAATTAAACAGCTATTTGGTCCTGGTATAAGACTCTTCAGTGGCGTTCATCCACAAATCCAAGACAATGTTTTTTCCCGGGTATAGAAGATTTGTAACGGTTGTTCAATTTGAAGGTAGTATAGTGTCATAGAGCATTGTCAGTTTGATACACTGAATCAATCGGGTATATCAATTTATGGCTGCATTATGTTAGATACTGGTGAACGGACGTTACTGGTCAAGATTTCGTTTCACTTTTCGAATAAATCGATATAAGCTATTAGCTGAAAAGGTTGCTTAATTTTCACAGGCAAATAGATAAATATTTATGAAACAGTTGTACAAGTATCTTCTATTCGATTTATCTAATCCCAGCATCCTACACAATGTTGATTTTCTCACTCATGTGGCAGGTTAGGATCACGAACACAAAGCTTTTGTGTTAATGACAGACTCGGAGGACGGCAGAACATAACGGAATTATTGAAATCCAAGTAGCAGCGAACAACTGTTCGTTTCAGTGTACGAATTCACAATAGTAAATAACTATTAAGCCACCAGGGATCGAACTCACGAACTTCAGGTCTTGCTACACGAGCACAACATTAACATTCAGTGACTCACATTCCCAACTTCAGCTCACTCACAATATCAAGTACCCATCATCCATAGCCATCTGTGATATTTGTCTGGTATTCGCCATCACAGAACTTTACAGGATACAAGTTGTCCTTAGAAAATTTACAAGTCTACCACTAACAAACACATGAATATGTGTTTGATAAGACCAGTTGATAAGAATTTTCGTACAGAGATTGACTTGATTTGTAGGTTGTTTCCGTCGCAGACTGATCTCACTTAGGGTATTTTTAAAAATTAAAAACGAACGGATAGTTGTTTCGCCGTACCACAGGACATAAAGTTTCTGAGGTCAATCTCTAGCGGACTTGTGAATAGTCAGTTCTAAGGAGTACATTCAGAGGACGAAAGAGCTACCCATTACTTCCTGTTTTTTTATGACAACCTAACTGAGGTCAATGCTCGACGAATGTAACTTCTTATGTTACTTATTAAACTCATGCACCAAGTTTATATTCATTTATTCAACCCTGATTCACAATTTTTCCTCTCTCCTTGTGTAAGTGTAATTCAGGGATGGCAATTCCATCCAGACTACCCTTATCAGTTTAGGTGAGGTGAGATTCAAAGCTGTGAATTCATAACTAAAATTTTAAACCATTAGGTTGTTGTTCCTTGTATACATAGACATGAATTACTGCATATGATAATAAATATGCAATTATGCAATACGAGTATAAATGTTATAAAACAGATTAAACATATTGAATGTGATCTTAATTTGTGATCATCTTAGCGGTTAACACCGTGTATTCACAACGACCAAATAGACAATGGAGTTGAAGATAGAACTTTCGAATATTAAGTCGAGTAAAATAACTCGAAGTTATCGAGTCATTTCGTTTAGATGCAAGATAAGTACTACACTGCCCAACCATCGTTTACCCCTATACACAGTGTTTGCTGGTGTAGGATTAGGTTTAAAAAAAGCTAAGGATGGCCGTATAAAAATGTGGTATCAGTCAATAAAGTAGCTGACTGTTGGACTAAGGAGTGCAGATTACCTGGTTCGGGTCCGCATAATTAATGTAACAAATGGTTTCGGACTGTAAAACACTTAATAACTGTTTCATTTTAATATGGCCCTCCTTAGTAGCAATGGGCTTTTATGACCTCTCCACGAACTCAACCTAATAACCTAAGGTCTCGAGGCGAGCAGTTAGTCTTCAGACTACTAAGTTCCCATCCAATGATTTATATTTCTATTTATAATTATTTATACATAACAAAAGTGAAATCAGGAATAAGCGATGAACATACAAATACACCGTTGTTTATTCATTTACTAACTGACTAACCTACCTAGGATCAAATAATTTTGTATCTGGAGAAGGGATAGTCGGTGTACCAAGTAGAGCAATTTGATTAGCTGATAATAATCCGGCATTTAAATTCGGTGTACCATTTACAGTAGGATTAGAACGTAGACAATTATTCATGAAATTATTCGGTGTTGGTGATCCACAGAATATAGTTGATGCCGCAGCGGCTGCGGCAGCCGCCAATGCAGCTAAATTTGATTCACGTGTTCCGCTACCATTGAAATCAGTAACTAAACCATTAGCATTATTAGTATTATTGTTATTTATACTATTGTTATGATTATAATGACTAATATTAGTGGTATTATTACAAGTAGTATTGTTCGATGAATCATTAGAAAATTTAGTTGGTTGTATAAAACCATTCAATAAGTCGGAATTAAAACGTGATGTAAAATCTGTTGTGGATTTTTGTTGTAAAGCGGAGAAATTTGCTAATTGGCTATTGACAATCGATGGACTAACTAAACCTGTATTTAATAATGAAGCTAAAGCATCATGTGATGTTAATGTTAAACCATTCGGTGTTGTATATAAAGGACAATTCAATAGATTATTATAATTAACATTAGCAATCATTGTTGCTGAGGCAGCGGCGGCAGCAGCTGCGGCTGCCGCGGCTGCTGCAGTTGTCGCTGTGACAGGATAACGTCGTCTTCTTGTGTCTGGATTATGTTTATCAGCGAATTTCGCTTCGACTGGAACAGAACAATCAGGTAAAGTGAGTGGATGCAATTTTAAAGATTCTAAAGCATTCACTGCATCTTGTTCATTGACAAACCGTACAAAACCAACACCTATAAATAAACATAAATGCGAATATGATCGGAAGAAAATCAGTAAATTTGCATGGTTATAAAAGCTTACATAACAATTATAATAAGTACTACTACAATAATTATTACTATATTGATTGATATATTACCGATGAGAATATTTGGCGAGACTATAATTTATTGATGAACCAATCTGATGAAAGATAACAGGTCTTGGATTTTGGCTCAAAATTAACTCATTCATTTGGCTAAATAGAGTTTTGGGATTATACCTGATGCCAGTTCGTGATACAAACCCTAAATCTAATTCCTAATCTTAACCATCAACTGTAAATCCTAATTCTAATACCTTACACTGGTTTATAACCCACATTTAGTCTTAGTTATCGAGTGGATAGTCTCAAGGTTACTTTGGCGTTGCTCAAAAGTCGTCCATAAATTATAGCCCTACCAAATATTTATTTTACCCTGTTCAGTAGGTTTGAAATAAAAGCGTAATTAATGAGATTCAAGTCATTCGTTCATTGATTCAAACTTAAATAGGTATATGACCATTAATATTATTACTATTTATAACTGGAATACTTTTGTGAAAACTTTGTTGTATCATTTATAAATCATTAACTGATCTTAGACAGATAACCATTGGAAGCCTGAGAGAAAAGTACGGACCTAATATCTTAATATAAGACTCCTGAGTAGTGCTTATTCACCATGGAGGACATCAACCACGACACTTAGCCTCCTGCATGAACGCCTAACTTCTAGATCAATCAGCCAACATCCGACAGTATTAGTGTCCAACTTCAATCAATCTAAGATTTTGCTCAACCCCCACCCATTATTTACAGTGGACAACTATCTCATACCTGAAATGGTTGAATTCCATTAGTCACAGCTTCTCACTATAATTCCAGAAGTTGCATTATGAAGTCAATCAGTAGTAAGCACATGGTTATTACTAGTATAGGAAATTTGTGGCAATTGTGAAGTTTTCACAGTTTAAGTCATAAATCCTGGTTTATTGATCTAGAGGTTAAGCGTTTGTACACAAGACTGATGGTCCTGGGTTGGATCCTCTATTGTGGGATCGTGGATGAGCATTTCTGAGGAGTTCCAAACTAATACAAATGCCTATTCGGCTCTCTCTGATTTTCGATGGTTTTCTAGCTAAGTTCGGGATTTAAACTATGAAAGTTCTACAACTCCTGCAAATTCCCTTACACTAATAATCATTTGTAAATTCTCGTCTCCAGCCCAAGTAGGGTTGTGTGGATGTATCACACACCGAAGACAAAACATTTGTATAGTTCACTCTAATACTAAATTGTTTCAAAATTGAAAACTAAATATCATTCATTCAGTCAGTCAGCTACAACGTAGGACCAGGCACATATATGCATCGGTCCAAGTTGCCATACTTCATTAGCACAGCAAGATGAACACCGGATTCATAAAAGTAGTTAATTCAGAGGTGGTAATATATAAAAGAAAGATTGCAATAAGGGTATAGCACAAGAAGAAAGAATTAGTTCGTAGAAAGAAAGATATGAAGCGATTTTAATCTCATAGTTTAAGGGAAGAGAGAAAGTGTATACACCTACACCATTGTGATCGATTCTGAGCCATGTCACCCACAGTCTCCAACCATTGGTTACGATAGTCATGCGGACCCCAACCAAGTAGTCTGCATCTACCAACATGGCTCAGACTAGAAGTTAGTGCCTTCAAGCACAGGTGCCACGTTTTGGTTTGACCGACCCTAACTTTCTCTCAACCATCCCGAACACCGGTTAGCATTTTAAAACTAGTGCAAACCATTTTTTCATAGTAATTCATTTTTATAACGTTTTCTTATTATTTTACATTACAATTATCACCACTAACCAGTTGTTTTGTTGGTTAAGCGTTCCATCATAACAAATGCTGATTGTATATGACCAAATCGTTCAAATACTGCTTTCAACTGATCACTATCTTTTGTTGTCCATGTTCTTGGAAGATTTGTCACATATAGATTGGTTTTATCTTTTTCATTTTCCTGAAAATAGAATAATAACGACAATAGTAATATGATGAAAAAAACAGTTAAAATAAAGTAGATTTTAAAAAAACCAGTTTAAACAATCATCAAATTAGAATAATGGCTAGCAGTAAAGTCAACGTTGTGAGTTTCGTCCTATTTAAGACTCGTTAGCTAAATGTAACTATATCTTAATTTTACTGTTCACATAGAGACTTGAACCCAATACCTTTAAATTGAAGCAACGAAACGTTATCTACTGAGCTAATGGGTTCAGATAATCATTGATCGTTGTAATGGGCATGAATTTTAATTTAATTTGTAGTGATTTGGATTATCTCGTTGCTGATATTCACTACTAAATTTTGGTTAGTCCTAGTTGGCATATGTGCATTCCATGCGGATTGCCTCGATATGGACATTATGACACAAGTCTACGTATAATGGATGCAACGTGGCTAGCAGTGAAATTAAGGACACGGGTTTCATCCTATTTAAGACTCGTCAGCTGGCTTTACTTGCATTCCAGCGTTGCTTTTCACTCGTGAACTCGAACCCAGTTCAGAATATACCAGTAGAGACTTGTGCGTAGCATTTTTTTTAACATTAACCATGAGAAATCATTCACCCATACAGATAAAACAGTAACAAATATTTAGGATAGAAAATTTATCCAGATAATTTGGTTTACATCACAAATTATATCCAACTAGAAAATTAATGAAAACTAGTAAGCATGTAAAATAGCTATTCCATCCTAGTATGAAACTTTTTAACAACGTGTAAGTACGACCTCATTATGAGTCGATTTCTGAACTTTTAAGTCTCCTTAGATCAAGCAATTGATTTACATCATTGATGTAAATTACATTTCCATAATAACACTTTATAATGATCTTAATTATGATTGATTACTGTAGAATTGAGAATAATGTGTTTTTCATTTTCTATTTTAGATGAGTTGGTACAATTAAAAATGAATATTTCTTCTATTGTAACATGAAATAATATCAATCAGTCAATAGGGGACCCAATGGAGAACCCATTGTAACTCCATTTGTTTGTCTGTAGAAATCATCATTAAATCTAAATTGTACGTTGAGAAGTAGCTCTTTTAGACAATGTTTTAGGATACAAATATCAAAGTTGTTATTTTCAATATAGTCACATAAAAAACATAAAAAACACAAGAAAAAAACAGTGGTCTAGTTTGTTAAGCGCTTGGCGCGAGACTGATAGGTCCTGGGTTCGAATCTCGCGGGTTGTGGGATCGTGGATGCGCACTGCTGAGGAGTCCCATACTAGGACTAGACCGCGGTCCAGTGCTTCCAGGTTTTTCATAGTGGTCTGGCTTCAAATGACTCATGATTTCAATCTGTGAAATTTCAAAGATCTCCACAAACCCCTTCTGATATAGTTTCTGTAAGAGGAACATTTGTCAAGAGAGAAGTGATATCCAATGTAATCATTTTTCTACCATTTACATTGGTATTTCGAATTAAGTCGATAAAATCAAAGGAAACAAGAGATTTGTATTTATTGTTATGATTTTTAACGGATTGTAACATATCAACTAACTATTTAGCAATCAAGTGACTTTGTTGACTCAATTAGAAAGATCAATGTAAATGTGATAAGAAAATGATGTCAATGAATGTCACTTTTCTCTTTACAAATATTCCTGTCACAGAAATTTATGTTTCTTATTTTAACACACAGATATTGGTACAAGGAGGCACCAAATACACATGGGCCACACAGATCTCATTTGATATGTGTGAGGGCTGTGATACTGCTCGGGTGCCCAAACCGAAGCAGGTGGTGTTCTTAGAGGTCACACTCGGAGCCTTAGACCTGGAGGTCTGATCCACAAGGCATTGAAGCAGCGTAAGGAGATGCAGTCCATGGTAGCCGATGACCAACTACTGGTTCATACGCCATTTGTCCATTCAGGATCGTGTAGCCCATGTGCACCATTGGTTTAGAATGGAGGTTTTCCAACTCCCCTAGGTGGACTCTCCATGTCCACCAACCCGGTTAAAGCGCCGGACATTCACTTTTCTTCCTCTCAGTTTCGTAAACAACACCCTTCCCACGAGAAGGCAGTGAGTAGGACTTCCCTGGCAGAGGCTGTATACGCGCGACCGTGTGAGAGCATTTTGAGAGGTAGAGCGGACCCTCCCCACTCTTGGCCGTACCAGGGCATTTGGGCGCAATAAAATATTCATTCCGAATTCAACTACCTAACCTGTATATTAAGAAATAAGATATTTTTTAGAGAGAAAAATGAGTAATCTAATGAGTCAATGACAAAGAGTTGTTATGTAAACAGTATGAACGAATCAGTTTTATTCTTTTCAACTAGTAATAACAAAGGGAGATAATAGTTGTCATAGTGAAGTGTTTATTATGTGTTAAATTTCGAAAAGAATATAATGATCTAAACATGATCCTGTTTAAGTGATTATATCATTTAACAGAGCCAAGTTAACATATTTGTTTTAGTAAACAAATGATCACAAAAGGATATAATATAAACACATTATCTAAGTGTTTATTTATTTATTCATGAATTATGACCAATGTATGAGACATGGAACATAATCTTAGCCATTAGAAAGAAACCTACATTCAGAGTTTCTTATCGACTACTTTGAACCACATAACAGTTTATGAGAATTGATCATATTAGTTAAGGAACGTTGCAAAATTCAGATCTTTATATATTTTATCTGTGTACATCAACTGTTATCACAATCACTGAGACACTTTAAGACTTTAAAACTTAACCCTATATGATATTATATATACAGTAATGAAAAATTCTAAACTACAACAGAAGAATTGTACATTATTCTTTAACTTATTATTATTATTGTTTGAACATATAGATATTGATACAAGGAGGCACCAAATACATATGCTCCACACAAATCCCATTTGATTTGTGCGAGGGCTGTTATACTGCCTGGGTGTCCAAATCGAAGCAGCACCCAAACATTTTCTTTACAATTATTTCCTAGCTCATTTTAGTTCATAGTATAAACTAGCACATAAATTGAATCCAACCTTAAAACTGTTTATTTATTCAAACAAAAATGTTGATAAGATATAAATTGTGCATTGAATAATCATTAAATTATCATTACCGTAATTATTTATGCAACACTAAGTATGCTTGTTAAGAAATGTGATTTGCTTCGGAAGGAAAAACATACAAACAACTTAGACACTAAATTGAATTCTAATACAGTTTTGGTAATCATTGTAATTTAATCCTAGAAGATCCATTGAAAACAATCTACAAGAGACTAATCATTTTACTCTTTATTATAAATCATAAAACCATACATGTAGGTATTCAATAAGATTCATAATTATTAGTATAGGGGTTGTGGAGATTTTTAAGTTTTGATTGAGATCATGAACCGATTGATGTTAGACTACCACCTTTGGAAACCTGGAAGCACTGGACGGCCGTTTCGTCCTATTGTGGGACTCCTCAGCGGTGCGCATCCACGATCCCGCTCGCGATTGGATGTTGGATGTTCGTGTTAGACACTATCACTATTGGATGCCAGCTCATTGGTCGAGCTGGTTAAGCGTTCGCACGCGAGACCGAAGGCCCTGGGTTCGAATCCCACGAGCGGGATCGTGGATGTGCACTGCTGAGGAGTCCCACAATAGGACCAAACTGCCGTCCATTGTTTCCAGGTTTTCAAAGGTGGTGGTCTAACATCAATCGGTTCATGATCTCAATCAGAAAGATTCATAATTATTAACTTGATTCATGTATTTGATCAAATTAATACTCATAGTTCTCCTTATCATTTTGAAAAGAGTTAGAACAAAGATTCTAGCAGAATAGTATGGATTCATTTTATTTCGTAGGTTCTCGTCAACTGCTTACAACCTGTGATATTTAAAAATCATAATTACATAATGGGTTCGAATTGCTTTCTGAATATTGTAAATATATACCTAATGTGAAAGAATATTCTACACCAATAATTGTGACAACAGTTCAAAAGGGGGTTAGAAACAATTGATTACATGATGAATAAACATTGATAGGAATACAATGAGTAGAGTTTACTTGAAAGACTATTCATTTGAAAGATAGTTGAAAAAATAAAATAACATCAATGATGTAATAAATGCAAAAGAAAGAAAAAAGGAAAAAAATTTTAAGGTGCAGTGAAGGAACATTTGTCACCAGGGCAAGGAAAGATTAACCAACGTCTCCTTTTGAACACATAGGTCAGGTTTTTGACGCCTGATGGCAATGGCTTCAGCAAACTTCAGAAGACTAGAGTTTGGCTGCTTACTAATCACCCTAAAGGATTGTAAGGTATCTACCTGATGTCCTGTATCAAGGAGATGTTTGATGATTGCACTGTTCAGGGTCTTTCTTTCCCTTGTTCTAAGACTTTTTGGAACATGTTCAAAGAATCTAAGATATGCTCTCCTTTCAATTCGGCCGATGTAGCCGCTTTGGCAAGTACACGTGAATTTATAAATACAGTTGTCGGTAACATGAAAGGGTTGCTTGTCGATCTTTGATTGGGTTATTGAACATGTTGTTTTGTAGAGAGTTAAAAGTTTAGCAGCCGGATAAGTTCTGGCCAGAGCAGTGTTCAGTCTCCTGTTGATTATTTGTGCGACGTTATCACCTTTAAAGTTAAGATTTATATATACTGGCTTTTTATTCACCGTAGTTATTTCCGTCTTGTTTTCTTTGGACTTTTTATATTTGTCAATAAACTTTTGTGGATAAAAGTTTTCTTTTAGACATTTTTCTACGTTCCTTAATTCTTCTTCCAGTTTGTCGGTGGAGTTCAGAGACAGTTAAGATAAATTGTGTGATAATTTTAGAGGTAATGAAAGAATCATGGAATTAAACACTGATAAGATGGGTTACGTAATAATTAAAAAGAATTTGAAGAGTTCACATAATTTAAGAGAATCAAGTGAGTGGAAATGTGTGAGTGATGGAGTAGTTTAAGAATTCGGTAATA